AGAGAGAGAGAGAGAGAGAGAGAGAGAGAGAGAGAGAGAGAGAGAGAGAGACTATGGACTTATTAAAAGATATAAAAAAGAATATTTTTGTCATTGATTTTAGAAATATTTGCTTGTTCTGACTTGCAATCTTCTAATTCAGAGAACGCACGTGAAAGAAATATTAAACATTTTTAATTACGTGCTTTAACGTTTTTTAAATTTCATATTTGATAGCTTATAATGCAAAAAATTTTGATAATTCAAGTGAATTTTAAATGGATCTTTTTCATGATGCGATCAAGTCTGGCATTCTTTAGACGGTTCAAATTACTGATGGGGATTAAACGTAAATACTTTGTTGGCAAAAATATTAAATTACATTTTTGCATGCATAAATGCATGCGCTGAATATCTCGGACAAGTCGTATTACTGGGAATCGAATTACTGATTAAAGAGAAGACTCGCGTTCCAGGAAACTATCGCTTCCTCGATTACTATGCGAAAGACAGTATTAGTGTCACGTAGCGTTCACCCGTTTTCCAGGATATGGGGAGAGTTCTCAATCATTTATGCAAATTAACATTTTGCCGCTGTGGACAAGATCGCGATTGAGTACTAACGACGATTTACCGAAGCGTAAACAAATCTACATTTCGAAGACAATGTATGTGTCACATTTCTCAAATCTTATTTACCGTAAATAATATACACGACACAGTAATTCTTCTTCGTACCCATTCTTCAATTCATATTTAACTTATGCACATATTCTTTTAAAAATAGTCTTGAAATATTTATAAATATAATTTATTAACACACATTAAGTCACTTTTTTGTGATTACGGGAAAATAAAAGTAACTTTCACGTTTTTAATGATAGTGTTTTTTTATCTGCAAACATTCCAGCTTCTGTATTTATGATGATATTCTTCATTTTTTATGCATGTTTGCTGTATAAAGATACATTTTTATTATCATGTAATACACGCAAGATACATTTCGCTGATTGAATCATAAAATATAGCTAGTCCATAAGTGTCAAGAGATTGACTCACCAATTATTGATCGTCATTATATCGATATCAGTCAATCACAAGACCCCTGAGTTTTCAAAATTCCCTCCGAGATTTAACCCAAATTGTCGAATAGATCTGGGTCTCCGTGCGTAACATTGGACGTGCCCGATCTCTCAAACGAGTCATTCTCGTGTCCCACAGGATTGAGAGGGAGAAGGTAAGTGGCCTAGGAGAGGTAGCGAAGTGTGTCGCTTCTACGAGCGTGCATACGCACAGGCATACGCACACACCCACGCCTTGGCAAACGGGCGACTGTACACTCGACTCGAAATCAGTCGGTCGTACGAGCACTTACGTTGGAGGTGGAGAAAGAGAGAGAGAGAGAGAGAC